CTGGAGGGTCAGAGATAACCTGGCAAGGCAGAGGGAAGGGAAGGGATGCCCCTGGGAAGTTGAGCTGCAGGCCAGCCAGTCCCCTAGATCTGACCTTGTGTAGCCCAAAGAGGTTGAGGTTCAGACCAGATGTGCAGTGGGGTCTCCAGTCCCCTGAGCCCCACCCCCTGGGTTGTTCACCCTGAGGCTTCCCCCCAAGCAGAGGGCCCTGTTCAACCAGGCTCCAAGCCCTGTCTCCCTAGTCTCCAGGAACCCTCTAAGGAGGTCACCCAGGGCAAAATGACCAATAGTCCCTTTATTGCCCAGAGCTGTCCAGAGGCCGGAGACCCCCTGGATAGCTCTGGAAGATCCTCCAGCACTGAGAATCACCTCAGCTCCTGGGAGCCCGCAGAGAAGCCTCGGGGTACCGACATCTGTGTGTCTGCAGCCCCAGCCCTGCTTTCTGCGTTCTGCCGGAGACCTCACTGCTGGTTTCTGCTGCTGGAAGACATTTGAAGATCCTGGATGTGCTTCCTTGTCATTGCTCATGTGGAGATACTGAGGCCCAGAAGACACGACCAGCCGACGTCACCCAGCAAGCCAGAGCATACTGCCGGCTGGGCCCGGGGCGCCTGCCTTCCCTGCCCGAGGGCCCCTGGCGGTTCAGAGCAGACTTGGCCCCTCCGTGCCAGCCATCTGCAAAGCCTGGGAATGCACGAGTGTTTGGTTTGGCTTCCAGGCCACTTTGCCAGGAGACCATTTTCCCCAGCATGAGGTGGGGAGGAGGTGGGGGCTGGACCAGGGACTGGAGCTTTGTGAGGAGAGTGGGCCAGGGAGGCAGTTGAGGGGCATTTGGAGGGGCTTTTCCTCCCACCCAGCCCCCCTCATTTCCCTGGGACTCCTTCCAAGCAATAAAACCCCTCACTCCAGCTCAGGCTCCAAGGGGGAATTTTCATCTTTGGTTTTCAAAGTGTGAAAGAAAATGCCTCTGGGCGCCTCGCACAGCATAGTTTTCATAACTCCTAGCTGTGCCTTTCCTGCAAAGGGAGGGTGCTGTCTGAGGCAGCCCTGAGGCCCAGCTCCAGGCTCCTCCAGGGGCACACAGCCCCTCTCTCCTCGGCCAGCTTTGCCAACCGCCCTGCCTCAGAATCTTTATGGATATTTTGTGTTGTCTTGGGAAATTGGGGTTGTTGTTGTCATCACTAGAAAAGGCAGGGAAGAGGCTAGGGCAGAGACCCTGGCTGGGCATGGGCACTGACCCCTGCAGCAGCTGAGGCCACCAGGGGCCTCCGGCTCGCACCTGGCAAGCCTCCACCCACAGGTTCTCAGGTCTCAACACGAAGTGCCCAGCTCCCTTGGTGAGCTCCCATTATTCCCTGCTCGCCTCTGTCTGGCCAGGCTGGGGGCAGGCTGCCTGAGTGCCCAGCCTAGCTCTTGTTGTAATTTGGTGCAAGATACATCATCTTCCTCAAGCTCAGCTGCCTCATCTTGGAAATGGGAATCGTCGTGGCCTCTACAGCAGGGCTGTCGGGAGGATGAAGAAGGTGCCGGGTGGACAGCCCCTTGCCCAGTGTCTGCTCACCCTTCCGCGGGTGTCCCATGCGTGCTGGGGACTGGATGTTCTTCGGCTCCCCAGATGGCTGCTATGAAGGAGCCAATCTGCTCTGAGTCAATAGGGCCCCTCGGGTGGGGGATGGTGTGGGGAGGGAGGCGGAGCACCAGGTCTAGCCGCCTTCTGTTCCTGAGAAGTGCTCTCTAAATGGAGAGCATTATTATATTTGTAGTATTAGATTAGAACCAAATGGAAATGCCTCTGTTGGGTCAATTCTCACTCACTGCGACCCTATAGGATGGAGTGGCACTACTCCCTAGGGTTTACGACACTGTAAATCTTGCCAAAAGCCTCATCTCTCTCCCACCGAGTAGCTGGTGGCTTTGAACTGCAGACTTGGAAGTTACCAGCCAGCGCCATGCTTCGCCCGCTGTGCCACCAGAGCTCCAGTATGAGATGAGTTCTTATTAAAGACAGACACTACAATCTCAATCGTCGGGATAAGATAGTGGAACTTTGGGAGCCTCGTGGGTTCTGAGTTGGCTGCTAATCACGAGGTCAGCAGTTCCAACCCACCAGCTGCTCCGAGGTAGAAAGGCTTACAGTCTGGGGAACCCACAGGGGCAGTTCCACTCCTCCCTTCCCAGGGGTTGCAGAGATAGAATGGATGGGACAGCAGGGAGTATTTTGCGTGCCAGTCCCTCTTCAGAATGGGTTACACTCTCAGGACAGAAATTCGCTAAAACCTCAGCAGCCTGAACACCCCGCGGATGACAATGGCACAAGCGGTCGATGGGGAACGCACAAGGCTTCACGGCGCCTTCACTACCCCCAGGGGCAGTCACCTGGCCGAGATCAGAGCTGGGTAGGAAAATGGCAGCAAGACCTTAGGTGCGGTTGCAGCGGGGGTGGGTGGTGTGTGCTGGGGAGACCCTCGGAAGGCCGGGTGAGCCCGCACAAACCATGGCAGGTCGCAGGTGGCCTGAAGCGATCCAGGATCAAGGACAGCGCCACTGGGGTCTCCAAGTGGGAAAGGCCCTTCACCCAGGGCTGTGGCATGTCCTTGTCTGCACGTCTCCAGGAGTGTGGAGTACAGAGTCGAGAGAGAAGGGGCCCTTCCTTCTCGGAGATGCACTGAGATGCCTAGAACAAGGCACCCAGAGGGCATTAGGAGTGCCCACACCCTGAACCCATATGGAAGCAGATATGGGCTTGTTGACGCTGGGCTCCCCTCCCCACCCACCCAGGCCGCAGCTGAGCTGGCCTGTGTGCGAGTACCAGATGGAGCCGGGCTCTGAGAGGCCAGCGCGTGGCCCTGGGCTGTGGTGGTAATAATGACAGGGACTCTCCGTGGTGAATATGGCCAGTAGTTAGGACCTGGTGGCCCAGCATGAGGAAACACCAGGCTGAAATGGGGATGGGAGCGGGGCTCCCAGGTGGACCCAGGCCTTGGGCAGTGAGTGCAGGGAGGGAGGGCAGTTTCGCCCATGGGAGTGCTCTTCACTGCAGGCACCCAGGAAAGCGATTCTCCTCCTGTTCCTTCGGCTGAGGAGGGAGGGGCCAGCTGCCGAGCTGGAAGAGGGCTTACCACCCCCTGCCCAGCTATCAAAGCTCCAATCAACTCCCAGCCAAGCCCCAGGTCCGTTCTCCAATGGTGGGCCAGGCCCGCACCCTTCCTGCTCTGGGTGCTGGAGCAGGTGCCTTAACCTCCTTGTGCCTCAGTTTCTCACAAGTAAAATAGGGGTGCCTGCCTCATCGGGGCGTTTGCCATGAGGAGGACCCGTGTCTGATGAATGCTCACCCCAGCGACGCTCTCACTCATGTGCAAGCAAGACATGCCCAGCCTTCAGATTCCGGCGATTTGCCAATTGCCTTGTGCTACCCCTTTGGGTAATCTAGACCACCTCTACCCGCTGGCCCACCTGACCGGGGACTCCCAGCCCTGGTCCAGCTCTGTCGACCACCAGTTCTTCACAGTCAGAGGGCTTCTCTGTCCACAGAGCTGTCCAAATGCTCCCCTGGTGACCTCTCTGTGATTTTTCATATCTCTCTCTCTCTCTCTCTCTCTCTCTCTCTCTCTCTCTCTCTCTCTCTCTCTCTCTCTCCTTCCACTTCCTAACTCTTTCCTGGAGCCCAGCATGTAGCCTGAGCTCTGCTTTTGCCCCCGTACCCCCCTCCAATGTTCCCAGCCTCTCAAGCGCAGACTTAGCCTGCCAGTATTTTCCTGCTGTTAATCTCTTTTTTATTTCTCTGTCTCGTTCTCTGCCTCTCTTGTACCCTCCCTCCCTCTTTTTCACAAAAGCTTTTTTGAGCCAAGAATCTCACCTGTTACTTCCAAGCCTTCATTCCCATTTGTATAAGTTCAAGAGACATATACCTTTCACTAAACGCTCACTGCGGTTCAAAGCAAGACAGAGCACCTGCCCCCTTGAGGGACCACTGCCACCTCCCTGTGGCCTAGCCACGAGGCCAGTCCTCTGAACCTCAGTGTTCCCCTCTCTTGAGAGGGGATAGGGAGACCCATTTTGAGGGTTTGTTGTGAGAACAAGAGATACTCGTGGCAACGTGCTGGACCCATAGTGGATCTTCAGTAAGTGGTGGTTCTAGTAAGGAGAGCGATAAAGATGATGGGGACTTTGTTTGTTGGTGCTTGTTTGTTTTCATTTGTTTTCTCGCTGTTTCGGTTGGGAAGAAGAGAACAGCTGGAGGACTGTTCAAAAGTATGGAGACCGGATTTCTCCCATCTGACACCCAGATCACCTCCGTGTAAACACTTTCAGCCTTTTGCCTGGGACCTAGTTCTCGATCATGGTCATCCTTGAGACCTGTGGTCCACAGCCTGGGCTTGTCCCAGAGCCATAGAACGCAGCCTGGCATCGACGGGTGGGGAGGCCTCGGCAGTGGAATGGGCCAGCTGTGTGGCTCTGGAATGCTCACTCTCCTGGTTATGAGCCCCTTGTTGCTTTCTCTGTTAGGAGGAAAAAGTGTTCCCATAATGTTGGCTCTAAGACCCAAGACCACTGCCTCTTGCCCAGGACAAGATGCTGACCTGTCACTGTGCCATCTGTGCTTCCTCCCTTCCAGCACCACTGCCTCACCAGCCCCACTGCCCCTCCAGCCCACGCACAACTCTGGAACTGCCAGACCCCCCCTCCAGCTCTCTGACCAGCGCCAGCCCCAAGGCCATCTGCGTCCTGCCAACAGCTCAGCATGTAGCCACCCACGACTCATCCGGGGCTTCCTCATTGCCGTCACTGCCAGCATCGCCACCACGCCCCTGCTGCACATACTCGGGCCCTCCTGACCCCTGCTCTCGATGCAGACAAGCCAGAGACACAGCGGAGGGTCTGCAGCCACCACCCACAGCTCCTGCCACCACTTCCAGGGGTGTCTGACCCCTCATGGGCAATCCAGGTGGGACCGGTTAGAACATTAGAGCTTTGTTCTGCCCACTTACATCTTCTTTTTTGTAGAAGGATCTTAATTTCCCATAGTGCTATGGGGCTTTTTTGTAAAGATATGTGTTCATATTAAAAAAAAGGAAAAAATGTATTTATTCTACCATAAAACTATTTTTATGTGGTATATGTTAATAACCCCGTAATTAGCCTCAACACCGGCCCACGAAGTGAACCAGGCTGCCAGGGCACCTGTGACCTCGTGAGCGTGTTCCCCATCAGTGGAAACCTCCCACCTCTGGGTTTGGTTTCCCCCAGTCTGGGGACTTCGGAGAGAGGGCAAGGCAGCCAGGCTTTGCCTTTATGAAGCTAGATTTGAAAGCCAGAGTTGTGGATGCTGGCTGCCCTGGAGACACCCAGGCGCCTGGGGAGATGCGTTAGGAAAGAGATTGCTGCTAATTTCGAAAACCCTGAGTGTCTGTGAACTGCCCTCGTAGCTCTTGGAGAGTGTTCTGACCAAAGCACCGAGGTGGGCCGGTGGGTGAGTGGGCAGGAAGGGGATGCTGGCGCTGAAGAAGGTGGTCCCCAACCTCACTCGATCAATGGTTCCACCGAGGTCCCATGAGAGAAAGTGGGTCGTCCCAGGTCTCACAGCAAGTGGCAAAGCGAAAACTTGAGTCCAGGCCTCGCCAACTTGATTTAAAGTCACAGTCAACTAGGGTGAGGTGGGCCGGACAACAGGAAGGTCTCAGAAAGACACTCCAGGCAGGGAGAGGGGCCGAGGGGTCATGCGATAATCATACGAAGAGCTGCCTTCTGTCCAGAGCCTCCGGGGTGATAGGCACTTTGCACGCTTCGTCCCTGATCCCCCGGCCAGGTCTGTGAGGGGCACCTGATCCCCGTGGTGCAGATGAGGAAACAGAACCCCTTAAAGAGGTGAAGGGACTTGCTCACGGTCACCCAGCTAATCAAGAGTCATGTTCTGACCCCACCTCCGTGTCCTTCAAAGACAAGGCTTTTCTGCACCCTGTTCTGCCTGTGCTCTCCGTGCAGGGATGCTCTAGGCACGACGGACCTCCCCCAAAGGGGCCTACCCAGCTGGGCTCCAGCAGAGGCTGACCATAGCTCCTCACGTTGGTCCCTCTGGCCAAGGGGGGCTAGCACTGCCACGTCCCCTCAGGTTGTCTTATCTTAGAACCAATGAGGGATTTTTCTGCCAAAACTAAGGCTGGAGGTTAGGGATAGCTGTGGAGGGTCAGGGGAGGCAGATAGCTGGATTACAGAGTCTCTCTTCCCCAAGGTGGTGGCTGAGAATGAAGTTCTCAGTTTTGAGCCCCTCACCCGGGCCGGTGGCTCATGTTTGAGTCCTGGAATCGGACAGCAGAAAGGACGAGAGTAGCAGTGAGAGTAATTAGGAGGCCCAGAGAGGGCAAGCACTTCTCCAAAGCTGCACAGCCAATCAGGTCTGCCCAGCGCTGCCCGGGCTCAGGGCACTGTGGGTTACCCTGGAAGCCTTGACAAGGGCTGACCGGCCCTGGTACCATCGTGCCTCCCATCTGAGATGGTGGGATTCTGGGCAGTTCCTCGCATGGTCCGAGGTCTCATGGGCATCTTGGCCAGCCGCTGAATTCTTTTCAGCTTGGTTCCAGCTGAGTGTTTGAACCCGAGATCTGAATGGACCCCTGAGCTCTGCTTCTGATGGCCCAGCCAGTCTTGTGAGCACTATGCTTGAAATTGAACTTGAACCCAGCCAGGGCTGGAGCCCATTATCCTTGGCAAAAAAAAAAAAAAAAAAGTGACTTCCTCTTTCTGAGCGGGAAGGCGCTTTAGCTGATTTCGAACGCCAGCTCAGAAGGGCGGTGGGACTCAAACATACCGTGCAGAGCAATATTGGGATGAGATAAGTGGAAAGGAATTAGAAACACACAGGCCAGAGGCTTCTCTGTTTGGGGCAGAGTGTGTGGCACGATATGGTGAGGTGGAGCTTAAGGTTAATTAAAGATGAAGCATTTGGGCAAACAGTCCAGGCACCTGACAGTGTGCCCAGATCTGTGCCAGGCAAGGGGCCAAAGAAGTAAATAATTGCAGCATGTAATTACTGAGCGCACGTAAGTAGTGCCGGGCTTCATGTTGGGGCCCAATGTAGGCACCTTTCCTGGTCTAGAGAAACTCAGGATCAAGGTGGGACAAGCAGCCCGTGGAGGTGGATGGCTTTGTGAGATGGGAGAGTGGAGGTTACCCAGTCCAGGCCCCTAACTTCAGGCTGATTCAATACCTGGGCTTTCCAGATCCCTCCTCTGGGCAGCTGGGGGATTCCAACCCTCCCTTGACCAAGCATTCAAGTGTTTACAGAAAGATGGATGGGCAGCCAGATGCAGGGGCCAACTGATAGGGAGACGTGTGTCGCCAGGAGGGCCAGAGCCACAGTGGGTCAGACATCTGCAGGCAGTTTGCTGTGCCCCAGGACTTTCTGCTGCCAGGGTTTGAAACTGAGTTGAACCTTTGACTTAGATCCTAAAGGCCTGAGGCACAGACACGGCATCTGCAGTGTGAGGCCCAAAGTTCCCTCGGCTTGGGCCAGGGACCCACCATGCCATCCACAGCTCAAGCACCTTTGGAATGAGCTTCCTGCCATCTTTCTGGCATTTCCCCAGCATGTTCTGTTTGTCTCGCCATCTGAAGCTTCTTCTGAAGCTCCTTTTGTTCTGAGCACAGTGTCCATTTCTTGAACATTTGGCCTTGGGGCAGGCAGGAAAGATGGAAGGACCATGCCCCTGTGGGTAGGTGATGTGTCTGGAGTCAGCCAGCAGGCGAACGGTGGTCCTTGGTCCACCGTCTCTCAGGTGAGCTGACCACATGACCACGGCTCTCTGGGTCTTCCTTCAGAGGTTGGCCCGATTTACCCGGGATCAGGTGAAGGCATAGGATGGGTGGGCTGTCAGGTAGGCTGGGGAGCACAGTCCAAATGGCCCCTGCAACCCTAGGTCACAGATCCGGACTCTGAGTTATGGCAGCGTGTCCGAGAATACTGTCTTCTGGGATGCTCTGAGCCAACTAGACTTCTAGACCCCCTATTTCCCACCACCCCAATCTCCAACCTGGTACCACTGTCATAAAAGACTCCCAAAGGGCAAGGAAACGTCATTCTATCAAAAGGAAGATTCATGAAGGATCAGAGAGCGTCTACCCGGGAGTTGAGCTTTGGCGGCCTTCGGGGTGACAGAGGACAGAATGGGGGCTGGTGATAGTTTGCGCAGGACCCAAAAAGTCCTCAGCCTGGCTTCCTAACCAGGATCCAGCCGAGCTGACTCTGCCAAGTCCCACGGTGTCCCTGGCCAGGCGAGTCACATCCATCTTTCTCTTTCTAGAATAGACAGCATGTCTCACCTTGCCCCTCCCTGGGTCTGGAATGCCTTCCTCCTTCTGCTCTCTTCTAACTACTCATCCATGAAGATCAGCTTAGCCATTTCCTCCTCCAGGAAGCCTTCTGGGGCTCCTTGGGGCACTTTTGGCATCCACAACAGCCACCACTCAGTGTTGTTACCATGAGTTGGCAGGGGTCATGGTATCCTGACCAGGCACATAGGGGATGCGCAAGAGATGTGCAGGGAGGGAGCGGAGAAAGGGAGAGAGCGGAGGAGGAGGAAGGGAGGAAGGAAGGAAGGAAGGAAGGAAGGAAGGAAGGAAGGAAGGAAGGGAGGGTGAGGGGCGAAGAAGAGAGGCTGGCGTGGCTGTGCATAGTAGTAGAACTATTCCCCCAAAGTCAGAGGAGACCAATTGGGTTGCCCTTGAAGGTAGTGAGTTTCCTGTCAGTAGAGAGACGAGAGCAGGGGCCGTGGGCCCACTGACTGGAGACAGAAGATTGAAATCTTGGCAGGGAATTGGGGTGGGCGTCCATAGGGTTCTTCCTGGCTCTGTAGTGCGCCAGTCCTCTGAACATTGCTATTGATCCAAACATTCATCGAAGCAGCCAAACATATCACCCCAGCTGGCTGTCTGACCGAGTGAGGCTCAAGAATCAGTCCAGCTTCACAGCCCCCGGTCTCCAACCGCTGGGTCTGACGGGAATTGGCAAGCTTGCTTGATGCCCTCAAGCAGAGGGGCCTCTGTGATGTGGGGGAGGGCTGGACTGGAACCCAGGTGGCCTGACCCCAGCCCGGAGCTCCTGCCCTCTTTTCCCTGCTGACCCCAGTGAAGGGAAAGAGCTGGTAAATCCCTCCCTGGCCCTTTACCAGGAATGTTGGCTCACCCCCAGTCCTCTCCGCCCTCTTTCCAAACATGGCCACTTCCTTTGCCGAGAAACTGGCTACCACTCCGCGTTGCTGGATGACCATGGGCAAGTGTCTTCTCTCTGAGCCTTCATTTCCTCGGCTGTCAAATGGAGATATTGCTCCTGTCAGAGCTGGTCTCCTGGGAGATTTTCATGTGCAAACTTGTGGTGGGGGGAGGGGTCCCTGATAGTAAGGGGGGACCTTCCCCAGGCTTTCCTCCCAGGACCGACAACAGGCATGAGCGCAAGAGCATGTGGCAGGTAGGAAAGCCGGCAGATGAGTGCTCCTTGAAAGCCTGACTCCTCCCTAAGTCCTTCGTCCTGGCCCGGCCACGGGGAACCTGGTCTTGAAACAGGACGCAAGTCTAAGATGTTTCCAGTGAGCTGTCAGAGACCCACGACTCTCAAACATCGTAGGCCTACCCCAGCTGCTGGAGCAGGCAGAGGCTGATGTTTGGCCAAGGAAGTTTCTAGGCCAGTGGAGGGGAAGACAGAGCCCACCCTCCCCCACCTTGCTCCTCAGTTCCTCAAAGAGATAGCCCGACCAGACTCTCACTTTGCAATGCAAGCTTCAGATCTGACTGTAATTGGAAGGTATTCATGATAGTGCCCTTTGAATCACCTCTTTCCCCTCAACTCTGTGAATTATCATGAAGAGTTCTTTAAGAGTCTAATAGAAGAAAGAGAAAGATGCTATTAATGTTATTTTGCCAAAAATATTTTTGTAGCATAATATATTAATAAAAGATATTATGAATCCAATGGGTTGGTGTCTTGTATGCTAAAGGCTCCTTGCCTCCTGCCAGGGGGGATTTGAGAACTGCCTTTGACAGGAGGGCCAAGACCGGAAGTCATGGGACCCAGGAACTGCAGCCCACACATTT